CGTGATATATGATCGCTTACATTTTTTTTTGGATTTAACCAAAAAACAATGCCTATTCACGTGGAATTATTTTTTAAACACTAGGTAGTGAGTGTGAAACAACTTTTCACTATCTAGAGTCTTAAAAAATAAAATTCTTCTTTTGTTATTCGTTCCATCGGAGGAGCAAATAGTTTGATTTTGATTGTTAAAAGTGTCATCTTTTGGATATTCTGGTTGTTAGAACTTGAACTCTCAAAATTTTGATATTGATGAATTATGTTAGCAACTTGAATACTTGGTTTATTAATTTTTTGTTTCGGTCCTTGTCATCTCTTTAAATTTTTTTATATAAGAAATTTGTGGTGTAATGAAATATTATTATGACATTTTTCATAGGTATGTGTATTTTTTAAAATTGTACGTTTCTTATGATACACGATGCACAATTTTTTTTAAAAATTATACAAACTTCCGATACATGTTTTGACAACTTTGGTCGAGTATCATTCTTCCTTTGTTGAATGAGTACATTGGTTTCATACTTTTAGGAGCATTACTGTCAAAATCCTACGATTCGGAATCTGATTCGTAGGATTCGATTTGATTTAATTCCCATTCGATTTGATTTAATCTCCATTCGATTCGATTTAATCCCCATTCGATTTGTATCTTACCATAGAATTATTTTTGGCCGAGAATCGCAAGAATTGTACAATTCGATTCTAATTGAAGGAATTGCACGAATTATTTTATTCTTATTTTTAATCCTTTTGCTAGTAAAAAGATGTCGTTTTGCTAAAAGAGGCCCACCGCCAAATGTAAAACTCGCGTCTCTCTCTGTATCTCATGTTCGCGTCTTTGCCTCTCAAGCGTTTGTGAACATCACACAGAGACAACATCTACATGTTCAAATCAGTATAGGCTTTTCCTATTTTAGTTTAACTTTATTGATAGGAAGACAATAGTTATTTGTTGGTTAAAAATCATATATCTTTCATCGTGACCATTTTGAGGGAACGATTTACTATGTATTAAGAAAAATAACATAAGTAAAATCTCATGTGTAGATTTATAAAGATTTATAAAGGCTAGCATATTTTCATTTAGACATGTGATCATGTCAATACTGTCAATTGATTATTTTTAAAATATAATAATATTCAGTATTTAATATCTTTTTTGGGTATGTAAAATGTATTGATACTATGCAAAAATACAACCACCCAAGTGGCAAAATTTACATTTGCAAAAAAGAGCAAGTCCAGTTCTGAAAATAGCATTAGTGGATCCAAAAGAAATCACAAGAGGCTAACCTTGTGGAAGTACTGTAGATGGCCAGAACTTCCACCAGATTAACCTCTATGCTATACATATCAATCAAATGAAAACTAAGAAAATCCTAGCCTCCAGAAGGATGGATTTGCCAATTTTGCACAAGCTGAAGATTGTGGGATGAACTTTTGTACTTGACAGTGAGAAGTTTGCTGTGGAGAGTATTGATGATCTCCTTGTAAATGGTTTTTGCATCCTTGAATTCATTTCTGAACACCCTCCACAAGCTATAAACTGTAGCCTGCAAGACACAGTTTTAAACTTACAGTTCTTAGGGATTTTCCTTTCCATTCTACTGCTAAATTTTGGATTAACTGAGGCCAAGAAAGGGGCTGCCTGGCTTCACCATTCTTCTGCAGAATTTTGCTCCAAATACCACCCGTGAATCTTGCCTATTTTAAAAATGTGCATGCTATTTTTTTTATCATTGTTTGGATTTTGTGTCGAATTTTACAATTCCCGATTCTCAAATCTAGGATTTCGATTCCCAATACGAATCTCAATTTGATAACTATGCATAGGAGTGCTCGTGGATTATTTCTCCCCAGTAAGAAACTTTTAGTGGTGTCATTAATCTTAAATATGCAGTGGTAGCTGATTCTCATTTTCTACCACAGGTCATAACTGATTTGTACAAGATGCACAAGCAATTGTTTTCTGAAGGCATTGTTAAGATACTTCTTGAGACTTTCTCGTCAGTTGCTTCACATGCCCACCAACTGAGCTCTCAGACGATTCTCCAGCTGAAGCTGCAGAGAGCATGCTCCATCCTTGAGATCTCTGATCCACCCATGGTCCACTTTGAAAATGAGTCTTACCAGAATTACCTTAACATTCTGCGTGACTTACTCGTGAATAATCCATCTTTATCCGAGGAGATGAAGATAGAAGAAGTACTTGTTTCCGTGTGTGAAGAAGTTTTACGGGTATACCTAGACTGTGCTGGGTTACAATTTGTTAAGCAGAAACCAGATAATAAGCCAGTGCTTCACTGGATTCTTCCACTGGGTTCTGCGAAAAAGGAAGAATTGGCAGCAAGGACTTCTTTAGTTGTGTCTGCATTGCAGATTTTGCATGGTTTTGAGACGGATTCTTTTAGGAGGTATGTTTCACAACTGTTCCCACTGTTGGTGGATCTTGTAAGGAGTGAGCATAGCTCAGGAGAAGTTCAGCGTGTCCTGAGCAACATCTTCCAGTCATGTATAGGCCCAATGTTAATGAGAATGTGATGCTTAATATAGGGATACAGTGAGCAAATGTAAGCCATCAAAGGTCGGTTCTATCTTTTTTAAATGGCTGAGCATTGGCCATAAATATTATCTGTATTTAAATTTTGGTAGCATATGCAGGGCTGAGTTTTCTTTATAAATATAATAGCAATATGCTGATTGTTAATATTGACAAACATCCATCCCCAAATTCCTCAGCTCTTTCTTTTGGCTGGGAATGGACAGTTCTTCACTAGAAGAATGGTGGGGAAATGAACAGTGTTGGCTTATCTCTGGAACCATTGGCCTCCGTGTTGCAAGGCTTTATCAGGGTCATTGCAGGGATTGTGATCTCTTGTACTCTGACTTCCTATTCCACTGGAGACGACAACGATGACATCTAGGCTAACTTGTGCTTGGTTAAGTGAACATCCTTGTCATAGCGATGCTGAGTATGATCGCCATAGTAGTTGCATTCTCAAGGATTATTTACAGTTCGGTCCTCAGTGGAGTAAGTTCATTGGTGGAGCCTTCTTTAGTTTCTGGGTACCGGCTCATTTGTATCTTTTTGCCTAAGGCTTGATGGGGAGAAGAGGAAAGCGATCAACGTATTTGTCTGGTTTGATATCCATTTCGATTACACTCTTTTGCTCTGGATAGCTATTAGTCTACCAAAGGGCTCTATTGCGAAAAACACGTAAAAAATCCTCTCATTTTATGAAGATTCATGTCAATATTTGATAAAAATAACAAAAATCAGACATATTTATATAATTTAAATTAAACGTGTTTATCATATCAAATTCAAATTATCTATATTTAATATGGATTTGATGTATTTGTTAGCATGTGTTATTTTTAAATTCATACAAAAAATTAGTCAATTTTAACTCATTAATTTTGCATGGAATTAATGTATAACATCCAAGTCTTTCTCCTCAATCTCAGGTGGGTGTGATATTTTGGCGGGGAGAGTGGTTTTATTTGCTCTTGGAAATCACAATAAACGTATCTAACAAATCAATTTGGGAAGGAATGTCAGTTTAAATTTGGATGTTAACAGAGTTGGATGTCGTCCATCTAAGTTTTTGAAGAGGTTTGTTTTGAATTCAATAAGAGGTTGGTGATGTGTAATCAATCATCTTAGTTATAAAAACAAAAAATAGTGAGATGTCAACCTTTTGTTACGTGCCGGAGGAACTTTCAATGCTTATAAAAACTTGTTTAAACATCATAAAATGTTACGTAAGCTTGTACATTTGATCCAAAAAAAGACCACAAAAGGTTTAAACATCATAAAAACTGAAAGAAGGCGGAACATGGGTACAGCAACATGATTTCATTTTCCCGAATTGCCCACTCGCTCTCTAATTTAATAAAATACTCAGAAGTCAAACGATAAATAAGCAGACCACAAGCCACAATTTCTTGGAGCTATTAGTCAATTTTAACTCATTAATTTTGCATGGAATTAATGTATAACATCCAAGTCTTTCTCCTCAATCTCAGGTGGGTGTGATATTTTGGCGGGGAGAGTGGTTTTATTTGCTCTTGGAAATCACAATAAACGTATCTAACAAATCAATTTGGGAAGGAATGTCAGTTTAAATTTGGATGTTAACAGAGTTGGATGTCGTCCATCTAAGTTTTTGAAGAGGTTTGTTTTGAATTCAATAAGAGGTTGGTGATGTGTAATCAATCATCTTAGTTATAAAAACAAAAAATAGTGAGATGTCAACCTTTTGTTACGTGCCGGAGGAACTTTCAATGCTTATAAAAACTTGTTTAAACATCATAAAATGTTACGTAAGCTTGTACATTTGATCCAAAAAAAGACCACAAAAGGTTTAAACATCATAAAAACTGAAAGAAGGCGGAACATGGGTACAGCAACATGATTTCATTTTCCCGAATTGCCCACTCGCTCTCTAATTTAATAAAATACTCAGAAGTCAAACGATAAATAAGCAGACCACAAGCCACAATTTCTTGGAGCTATTAGTCAATTTTAACTCATTAATTTTGCATGGAATTAATGTATAACATCCAAGTCTTTCTCCTCAATCTCAGGTGGGTGTGATATTTTGGCGGGGAGAGTGGTTTTATTTGCTCTTGGAAATCACAATAAACGTATCTAACAAATCAATTTGGGAAGGAATGTCAGTTTAAATTTGGATGTTAACAGAGTTGGATGTCGTCCATCTAAGTTTTTGAAGAGGTTTGTTTTGAATTCAATAAGAGGTTGGTGATGTGTAATCAATCATCTTAGTTATAAAAACAAAAAATAGTGAGATGTCAACCTTTTGTTACGTGCAGGAGGAACTTTCAATGCTTATAAAAACTTGTTTAAACATCATAAAATGTTACGTAAGCTTGTACATTTGATCCAAAAAAAGACCACAAAAGGTTTAAACATCATAAAAACTGAAAGAAGGCGGAACATGGGTACAGCAACATGATTTCATTTTCCCGAATTGCCCACTCGCTCTCTAATTTAATAAAATACTCAGAAGTCAAACGATAAATAAGCAGACCACAAGCCACAATTTCTTGGAGCTATTGGACAACAAAATCAAGCAATGAAGTAGCAAGACCAGAAAATGCAAAGGAAAAACTGCCATATTACCTTACGACAGAATTTGATATAGAGTTCACTAGCAACACGGGCTTTTGCATTGACTCCTAACTGCATAACCTCCATAACCATATGATTCTATTAATTTAAGACAATCAACTACACCAGAGGTTCAAGTCCTAGAAAGGAATTTTAATCATCCCCGAATGGATACATTAGCTACACATTGACAAGCTTCAGTATAAGCTTGGACTGCACAAGGGAAGATTTGCATTGCAAGAAAATCATCCCAACATTCTAGAGATCTGACTGCTCAAATGGTACACGCACAAACAACTGGCCATGCAGGGTAACCACAGCAGATGTCTGATGAGGATCTATCCTAGAAGGTAAGCTCACAACCTGGAAACAAAATCAAGAAAGGTCAGTCGAACAGCCTCGAGCCTACATAAAATGATACAAAGCCATTGAACTGGAAAATGGGTAATATTCAAAGACCAAGACAATCTTTTTCATTCTACCAAGTCCCAGGAATTTATTCTTCCTTAGTAGTACATGGGTCACTCTCTCTCTCTCTCTCCAAGTTGTGGAGGATCAACACCTTTGAATATGATGGGTAAATCTCGGATACTTGTAGCCATTTGCAAGCCATAATTCTCAGGCAACCACACGACTTATACCTGAAACATCACACGAGGCACAATGGCCCCTTTTGAGCTATTCATGTATGTTTAAGTGCAGGGAGATACTGCCTGGTGGAATAGCAATAAACTCAGACAGACATTGATATTCTGCTTTCTCTATTCCCATTAAAAAAACCATATTCAACACAAGATCCTCTCCTGGCTGAATTCATTTTTTTTGGGTACATAAATGGATATGCAAATATGTTACTCATTGTCTCTCAACAGCACAAAGCTATTTGCAGGAGACCTTACTGCACTTATGTCAAGGCCGAAGCTAAGGTCCCACTGGCACTGAAGAGTATGTTTAGCCCCATTGAGTTGTCATAACAATGGAGACTCGAACCCAAACATTGAGCGAATATATCCGAGTTCTTATCCACCGGACCAACCACATGGTTGGTCAAGTGGCTGAATTCATTACTCGAAGATAAGTTGTGCAAATCCAACTCTCAAATAAACACTACAGAACGAAATATTTGTGATAGCATGTACAAAATTATGAGCTTGGATTTCGTCAATACTTGTGTAAGATACACAACACATACCTTTTTGAAGGGAACGACTCCCCAGGGATTATCCAGTTGCTCTGGTTGACCAGATATAACCAAACGCCCCGCTGGATCAGACTGTACACGCACCTGATTTCATCAAATACCAGTCTGTTCAGAAAATAACAGATGTTGAAGCTACGTAATCGCAGAGGCAAGAAAAAACAAGTACTTATTGGCTAATAAAATCTTATGTGAAGCTAATCCTAAGTTAATCCACAGATACAACTAATCAGCCCGCCAAAACCCCCAATAATATCCCAGCCCCCACCCCAAAAGAAAATAAAAAAGAATAACTGAAGTGAACACAATCCAACTTAAAAAGATTAAAAGTTAATTACATCCACCACCTCCAAATATTAAGTAGACCCCCACTCTCCAAGATAATGTACATATATTAGTTACGTACAAATTACATGTAAATAATTTTTTTTTATGTTGAAAAATAAATGACACATGCACACACACACTCTACACATCAACATGATTTTTTTCAACAAGAAACAAACAATTTTATTAATAAAAAAGGAAAGCGGTGTTATAAGTACCAAAAACAAAGGTGGACAAGTCGTCCAACCCAAAAAGGCGTACTAGAACCAAGAAAAAAAGCCAACAAAAACTAGACCATAAAGAAAAAAAATTACAATCCAATAGTCGTCGTCCAGCTCGAAGTAATGCAAAAAAGAGGAATATTTTCAAAATCCTTTGTAACGGAAGCCCAAATAGATGCCAAAAAATGCATTCGGGCTTATAAAGATTCGACCTTCTGTTTATCTTCAAAAATTCTTGCATTCCTTTCTATCCATAGAACCCATAGAAGAGCAAAAAATGCATAATGCCATGTATAACATCCCAAAGTTCAAAACAATCCAGATTAAATGATTGCAACCATTCTCTGATTTGGGTAAAATAGGGTTCCAAATATCAGCTAGCACAATTTTTGTGTACAACATTAGCCACCAAATCCATGATTTGAGTTTTTTTTTGCTGCCCTCAAGGTTTATCAGTTCACAGTTGCAGATTGGGTTTCATAAAGCCAACGAGGGTAAATACCAGATCACAGGCACACTTCAAGCACAAACATTATTTGGCACACAATCTCGATACAATTTCAAAAGCTACTTGCATTATATGGTTGCAAAAAATCATTAAAGGAATTAGAAAACTGCCAGAGATTTTTGGCGTACCTCTTCACGCAAAAGCCCAGGAACTAAAGCATATACCTCATAGCAGTCTTTCTGCATAGCAGTTTTTGTAAGAATTAAATCTCCATGGGAAAATATATAAACTTGCAAGACTATCAAAGATTACGTGTATGTATACCATCAAATAGCATAAATGATGATGCCCTACAGCAGTGGAAGACAAACTTACGGTTCTCTGTACATTGATTTTCACCCAATCGGCAGGAGGGCCAATATCAACAACCATTATGTCCAACCTGCCACGGAAAGCAAAAATGATGGCTTCATACGTAACGACATTTTTAAAGTTCTATCACAGTTGATAGCAACATACAAGTTGGACAGTTCTTTGAATCTTACACATTTTCGAGAAAAAAAAAACATTTTCTAATCCATATTGGCTTAGAATTGCTAATACAAGCATGAGAACTTAAGTTATAATCAGAAAACACATGCTAAACTCTTCCAAGAATATAATGACTCCTATATAGTTGAAGGCAGTAGAAAGAAGTGATTCAGCGCGTTTAATAGCAATGATCAAGGCATAAGGAAAAAAAAAAAAAAGAAAGTGACAGAGATCTTAACTGTGGTTTCGATGTTTTCATGCACACAACTTTGACAGCATGCTCAACAGCAGATGGCCTTTTACGCTTCAGCAAACCTTAATCATCAATAAAAGTAAGCAATTGAGAAAAAAAAATGCAGAATGATGTACTCATAGGGTATAGTAAGGTTTCTGACTTCTTGATGAATCATACCAATGCTTTTAAGCTGTTTTTCACGCTTTGGTGTAGAAGTTGAATTCTTATCCTACAAAACAAAATATCAGTTTATTTGAGAAAATATGTGAAAGTCACATTTAATGGGGCCTGGGGGACATAAGGAAACATGCAACAAGTGGACAAACCAAAAGGAGAAAGTTATAAGGTGTATAGTTTGGGATATCATCACAGACCTTAATAATTGGATCCCCAACCTCCCCATTGCCAAGAAGACGCTGGGAGTGCCAACCCTGCATTGCACGAGCTGCAGCATCTCTTCTTGCCCTACCTGATCCTGAAGCTTGATTAAGACCCACCTACATACAAGAATTTCTAAAGGATAAATCATGCACGACAGTGGTCAATCCCTAAATTTCAATAAAATTACAGCAGGCACGCCTTTTTTCGTGCCAGTTAAACCCCAAAAAAGTATGACCAGGCAGCATCAAGATTCACCCACATTTATTTATAATAAAACCGCCATAAACAGCTGTTTATTCAACAAATGGTCAGACAGCATATTTCTAAAGTTACGAGGTAAAACCATCAAATTTATTGAATGATACCCACCAAAACTTTAATGATGGTAAACGAAGCCCTGTTTTAATAAAATGATAGTATATAAATCAAAATAAGATCAGTCTTTTCTTTCATAAGATTCACATAAAATTATGTGGCTTTGAAAATCTTCATCTTCAGTTCATTATCAATACTTAGCATTCATAACCAAATATTATTACTACGTTATAATATTCTGTACGCTCCGAATTTGGTTAGCATGACATCCTACCTGTATCTAAAGGAAATTTGCATGCAATAATTAACCTATGAAATCTTTTTTTGGAGGGTGTACAAAATTTGTGAGGGAGCATAACCCAGTCTATAATCAAATATATCCATTCTCTATGGGGGGCTTCAAATATCATGGGTACTTTACATTGTTGCTATATTCATGATTACCATTAAAATCATACAGGTAGTAAATTAAATAATTCTCTTTAATTTTTGAAAGTATTGAATCTCTCATAGTAAGGAGCCACTACCTGGTGCATTGGTGAGAGTGTCTTAATACCAGTGATTTGTGAGGCTCTTGGATCGAATTTGAGGACAACCACTTTGTACAAGATAATGCCAAATGCTAGATCTATTCTCAATCCCACCCATCCCAGCAATCCCAACTAATAGGGACCAAATTAGGTAATGATTGTTTTTACAAAATGTCACAAAGTACATCCAGCGATAATTTGAATTAAATAAGTACTAAAAACTTTTCCAACCAATATAAGCAACAAAATCACCAACTCACTTGAATGCAAAAGTTTTAAAATCTAACTCTATTCTTTGCAGTCGTAGCAAAATTAATTGCAACACAAGGATTATTTAATTGGCATAACATACAAGCATTGAGCCCTTGATGTGCAAGTGCAACCAGTCTACCAAAAGCAGGAACACAATAATAATGCTAGAAATAAGAAGAACTTTACCTGTTCTTCAAGCTAAAACTAAGTCCAAGCAGCATATTTGACAAACATTCATATCAAATCACCTGATTCTCAGTACTGGCAGGCTCCATAAAAGAAGCATCAGTGAAAGGAAGCTCACCGCAACGCATTTTATGCTTTTCATACTCCAGTAATGCCTGCAAGGGCCACAAACCAGCAACTCCAGAATGCAGGGATGGTAGAAAAAAGATAACCAAACTAACATTCAGCAAGACTCCAATAAAAAAGTTTAAATGGGTAAGATAAGAGTCAGTTCAAAAAGATAATTATTAAATCAAACCAAAAAGAGTTTTGGCATCTAAATTGTTCCATTGTTTTCTAAAAAATGCATCAAAGGATAAGGACTCTAAGCCCATAAGGAAACCAACATAGACCTGTTTAATGCGAATAAGGTGCCTTGAACTGGTTCAAAATATGAATTTTGAATTATAGTGATCCATCAAAATTCTTATGCTATCTAGAATAAGACAGACAAGCCAACTTTGTTTTCCAACAGCTGCCAACAAACTGATTCTTGATTAAGGGTGTCAACTGATCGATTTTGGTTTGGTCCCATACATATCCAAAATCAGAACCTATTTAACAGTCCAATTTTCTTTCTGGTCATATATTCATTGGAACAAGAACCATAAATGCCTGGTACCTGCTGGGTTTTATGTAACGTCCATAAATAGTATTATTGTAAATATAACAATATATGTAAGACACGTGTCAGAGACAAATTTTGTAACAAAAAATGGAAAGATTAAATAGCCATCTGGTTACATTCATAGTGATATTGTTTGCAAGGAGAATTATTCCGATCTCTTGTAAAAACCTATTATGTGGGACGTCATTCCTAAAATCTATTTTTCAATTCGAAGTTTTATACGAATACTTTGCAGACCTCAGAAACTTTTTGGCAAATAACAGAACCATTTCAGCAATCATTAATGATGTTCGGAATTGGAGCTACTTATGACCTCTCTTAAGACTTACATTCACACTCTTGTCCTCTTACCAAATATCCTCATCTTTGAGGGCATAATCATCCTTGGTCATATTATTTCTTGAGGCATGCTATCCTATCATTAAGCAAAAGCATCCTAGTTGAAGTTCTATATAATTCTCATTATGCTCCCACATGGCCAGCTGGACTATTTTTTGTTGATAAGAGTGATGTTGTTGAATTCCGTAGTAACTGATGCCCAAAAAGAAGCTATGAAATGGACACGATTACACAACCCCTCGGGCCTCAACCACTTCATATTTATTCTCAAAAAATCTTGCATCTCTCTCCATCCAAATCATCCACATAGTAGTAAAAATTGAATACTCCAAAAGAATGACTCCTTTACTACTCCTTCAAGGACCATGAAAATCCACACAAAACATAGAAGCAATAGAACAAGGAACCACCCAAGAATCTCCAGCCACCTCAAAACATTTGTTCCACAAAGACCAAGCAATCGAGCATTGTCAAAATAAGTGATCCAAACTCTCCCAATCCTTTTTTGGAGCACATCATTTGTGTTAATCTTATCGTGATGCACATACTTGCACTTCTAAAAACACCTTGGCCTTCCAAATTTTCAACAATGGATAAAAGATTGGCGTAGAAAAATCATCAATCATAGAATCAAAGAAAGATTTACAAGAAAACACACCAGCAGAATCAAGGATCCAACATCTTTTGTCCACAGACACATGATGTAAAAATATGACTTAGCAAAGAAAGAATACGAAACCCAAAATTCCAAGAAATTGCATAAGAGTACGAACCAATTGTTAAAGCGATCCAAACATGATGATGGAACGAAAGATTGCAAAGACGAGGATATAAACAATCCAATGATAACTTCCCAATCCACAAATCTTCTCAAAATCGGACTTTTTTCCCATTATCCATAACAAATTTAGTCCTCTGTGAAAAAGGAGGGATTAAAGGTAATCCCTAAGAGATGAATTTCCATGGGTTTTGAAAATTATCCCTTTCAACCCCATTAGCATCCCAATCATTAGCCTGTAAACCATATACTTAATTTTAGTTAGGAGAACGTTAATACGTTAATACGTTAGCTAGAGTTTTGGGATGTCCGGTGGTAGGTTAGCCTATTAAGTATTTGGGACTTGGTCTTATAGGTAACCCTTTATCTATTGGTTTTTGGAATCCAATTATTGAGAAAATTGGGACAAGGTTGGATTGTTGAAAGAATTTTTTATTTCTAGACGAGGAAGGCTTACATTAGTTCGGTCGATCTTGGCAACCGGCAAGTATTCCAATTTATTTTCTCTTTCTCTCTCTTTTTAAGATGCCTTTTTTGGCAGCAATAAAGATTGAAGGAATGGTGAAGGTAAGAGAGATCATTTGATTAGGTGGGTGGTTGTGTCTAGACATAGGATTAAGGGTGGTCTTTCAATAGGTAATTTTCAACACTAGACCCTTTACTCCTCTAGATCTATAATCTTCAACTATCTCATTTCCCTAAAACCCAGCCACAATATCACATAAACTCTCCCTTATCCTCATTGATAAAACTTTTTCAAAAACTTTGTAAAGACTAATAACAAAAATGATTTGTCAAAAATGCTTAATCCTAAGAGAATATTCTTTCTTCGGAATTAGGCAAATAAAAGAAGCATTACTGACACCATTCACCACAACATTCTGAAAAAAATCTAGAAATACTAAAATTAAATCTTCTTTCATCACATCCCAATACTTCGTAAAAATAGTCATTGTAAACTCATCCGGCCCAAAAGCTTTATCTTTACTATATTTAAAAACAACCTTCTTAATTTCATTCTCCTCAAAAATTCTCTCCAACCAACTTACATTCCTCTCCTTAATAGGACACCATTCAAGACCTTCCAATCTAGACCTACATACTTCTTGGGCTGAAAATAGCATAGAAAAGAAACCAAGCACCTCTCTCTCAATATGATCGTCCTTTTCAATAATCACTCTATTCTCAAGTTCTAACTTATTAATAACTTTCTTAAGCCTATTCCCATTTACCACCTTATGAAAATATTTTGATTTACTATCCCCCTTCTTTTACCCACTTAACCCTAGATTTTTGCGTCCAACTAATCTCATCTCTAAACACAATCTCTTCAAATTTATTACTAAGATCTCATCTCTCTTATCTCAAATCTTCATCTAATCCCAAAAGGTCATTGCTTTAGACCCCAATTTTAAAGGACCTATATTTTTTACATCTCTATAATATATCCCACATTTAAATTCTAGGTTTTGTAAAAGTCCAAATCCAAGAGAAATAAAATCTAACGCTAGATCCAAAAAGTTGATCAATAGTTACATCTGATCAAAAAAACTGAACGATATTCATTTCACCTTTCATTTTTTTAGGAAAAAAATATTTTTGTTGAGTAAACCATACACAACTGAAAACCACATTCAACCCACCCTCTCCCTATGCGTGCGTATGTGTGTGTTTGGGGCTCCTAAAGAACATATTTTCTAGTTTAGGTACTAAACTAATACAATATATATTATCCATATAACTTATAACAGTTGCTTCACACAAAGATGTTTGGAAAAAAAAGGTGAAGATCAAATGGAAAAAAAGGGGGACATCAACTCTTAAGTTATTTCTTAGGGTGGCAAATGGGGGAAGGAAGAAGAAGCTCATTCATTGGAAACCTCTAAGTGTTGAGGGATTCCTATAAATTGCCCAATGGATTATGAGTTCTATTTGGTCAATAATATTTCATAGAGTTTTATCTTTCTTTTTCTATGTCGATTCAAAGTTGTGTGTGTTCGATACATGAAGAAACGATGACTTTTTATGTCCCCGTTATCGTTACCGCTTTGTTAATTGGTATCAAATACTTCATTGAGCTCGCATGATTGTTGATAAGCAAAGTGGAGGCAATTTTTCCTATGACGAAGATGAGTGGAATACCTATTGCAGATTCAAGTGACGATGATAAGTGTGGAATGCGAGATATAATGGAGGACGTGGTTATGAGTCTAGAAATCTTTGTATGAAAGTTGACCTTCCAACTTTTGACGTTGACCTTCATATAAAGATTTTCTTAATTGGTTGATCAATGTTGAGATTGGAGAAGAATGAGGTGAAGAGTGATTTTTGTATGCAATTGGGATATGTCCCCGAGGCTAGATGATTTTTCAGTGACGGTATTTCAATATTATAGGGAGATCATTAAAGATGACTTGATGAAAGTGTTTAGGAAGTTGTGAATGTGAACACTAATGCGACATAACATTTGTTTAATCTAAAAAAACAGAATTTTGTGAAAATAAGTGATTTTAGACCTATAAGTTTGATTACTAACCTTTATAAAAATTTTAACAAAAGTGTTGTCGGGCCGATTCGGAGAAGTCGTGGGAGATGATAATTCTAGACATCAAGGTGCATTTTAAGATTGATTTTGAAAAATTATAGACATTACATTAATAGCAAACATAGTGGTGAAGGATTATAGGGCTAATGGTAATGAAGGACTGTTCTTTAAGATTGATTTTGAAAAAATTTATGATCATGTAAATTGGGAGTTTTTTGAATTTGTATTATATGTGAATGGATTTGGAAGTAGATGGAGTAGATTGATCAAAGAATGTTTGTGTTCAATGATTAGAGGGGGTAGGGATCTTGTGGGGTTTCTCACTTGTAATTTGCAAACGATACAATATTCGAATGTGGTGAGTAGAGGTTTTCCTCAATGTCCTTGAAAATCTATTTCATAGGATTTAGACAGTTTCAGGGAACATGTTATAGCAAAGATCAAAATTTTGTTCAAGTGAGTTTTGAAACGAAACGTTTCGGTAATGTTTTGAAAACAAGATGGAAACAAATTTTTTTTTTTTAAATTTGTTTCCGAAATATTGGTTGAAACATAAGAATTTTAATATTCAATCAATGATTTGTTTTGATTATAATCTTCTAAAAGGGGGCTGGAATATTAATTTCTTTAGGGTGCTGAATGATGGGAAGTGTTGGAGCTTTCCTCCTTGATGTCTTTAGTCCAACCTTTCTGGGCAACTCCGGGGGTGGGAGATAAGAGATTATGAATCATTGATCCATCAAGTGTTTTTACTTGTAAATCTTCAAAAAATTGACTGGCACACATTTTCTCCTATTTTTGCACCCTCTATGATGATTTGAAAGCTAGACTATCGGTTAATGTGCAGGTTTTTGCTTGGACTGTAGCCCATAGAAAGATCACTACTTGTGATGTGTCGCGAAGGAAAAGACAAACTACTTGTCTTCGTTCCTAGTGGGTGTAATGCGTATGAATTGCAATTAATGTGTGGTTCATTCATTCTTCATTGTCCTGTGGCATTGAAATTGTGGTATAAAGCTCTAATCTAGGTGAGTTTCATTTGGTTGGTTAATTCCAAGAGATTATGTTTCTTTACTTGAAATAAATTAGATGTGTTTTCAAATGGGGGCAAAACAGACAATGGGAATATGTTATGGCAACTCTTTGGGGGTATGGTTGGAAAGAAATAACAGAATTTTTGAAGACAACGAAAAATATGGGAAATTCCTATGGGATAGAATCAAGTTTTTGGCTACCCTTTGGGCATCGGCGTCAAAAGAGTTTAAAGATGTGTCCTTTATCCTAAAGCTTGATTGGAAGACGATTGTAGTTGATGAAAACAATAATAGTCCTTGGTTGATTTATCTTATATAGAAGTATATAGTTTGATGTTTCTTTTCAACTTTGTTTCTTCTTCTTTCTATTCTATTGCTCGGGAGCAGATTTCTTGTCCACTACTTTGTACTTTTTATCTCATTTTAGTTAATGAAAAAAAATTTGTTTCCTATAAAAAAAATCTTTTATATGTACCAGTTCTGCTTCAGCTTCCATATCAGGTGAATTGATCCAAGAAAATGACGGTAATTACATCTTTAGCTATGAAGCACAGATAGTCTCAAGGATGTGACGTATCCATGTCGGACACCGACTCTCCTCAGACAATCTCAGACATGTGTCTGATACTCTTTTAGCCATGTTCATAATTAAATGATAAAATTTTAATTTTGAACACATATCCAACACTTTTGTATGCCATGTTTACTACAAAACAATAAAAATGTGTTGACATGTAATTAACAAAGTTTAAAAATTTGAATAAAAGGATCTTATAATATGACAGAACATATATGTACCAAGACTACACGTGTTGAAGTTGTACTCAAAATATATAATAATCAAATCAAAGAATGCATAAAAATTAAAACAAAAAAAAAAAAAGAAATTGAGAAAGTGAGAGCAATCATTTAAATTATATATGTTCGGCACACGTTTTCTACCAAAAAAAAAAATTGATGATTATTGACTATTAATATTCCCTGATCCAGAAATTCACACTAGATAACTAAGTCCTAACATTTACATATCATCAAGGATAAAAAATATCGTTTCAAAACGGTTGAAACATCCGAAATATTTCTGTTTACAAGGAGACCGAAATGAATCAGTGATGAAATCAAAATTCTATTATTTCGAGGTGTTCCATAATATTTTGATATGTTTTGTTATATTTTAATATATTTGAACAATTATTTTGAAATATTTCAAGATATTTTGGTATATTTTGACCAATATTTTGAAAAAATAATTCTTAAATTTTTTATTTATTTTTATTCTGTTTCTGAAACATGTCGAAATGTTTCAATTTCCTAGGTGATCAAAACAATGCACTGAAACGAAATTTTGATCCTTGCATATCATAAAGTACTGAGTTTTATGAATAATGTATAATTATCACTAAAACTATATTTACGATAAATTATATAGTTTTATATATAGTTAGTCCTCAACGTGTCCATATCCCACTTTATTTAGAAATGTCATGTCTTCGTGTCCATGGTTCTTAGAATTCCTTAGACATAAATTTGCATTGTCCCTTATTCTCGAAGTTTTAACCAAATAACTAATGCATAATATATTTTTTTACCGGACAACAAATAACAACACATCATTTCACATTTACGAGCCTCTCTTATCCATGTCTTCAATGATATTTAACTCAATGAAGTTCATTAGGAATAAAGTCATCAACATATGTAAGTTGATACATTCATATATAATCTCTGCTTGTATATGAATGTATCAACAAACAACACAAAAGGAATATTAATGTATCAATTTGAGCTTAACCTTCTCATAAAAACATCTGAATGTCCAAGAGACAGTAGTACAGGTCCTGCACAAGTTTGAACAAGGTGAGAATTAAGTGATGGAATTGAACTTAAATAGAAACCAAAGAGCAAATAAATCAATAATGTCCAAAAGAAAGAACAAGAGAGTGTAATAGACGTTGTTCTTTTAAAGAGGAGTTGTAACTTACAAATCTAATGGTATAATTAATACAAAAGTATACAAAACCACAATACACCTCTACACGCTCCCCCCCCCCCTCCTCTAAAAAAAAAAATACAAAAACTGGGGAGGGGGGGTGTTTTGAAACCACAAGGGTGCCAAAGCATGCTCCAAGAGAACTTATATCTCACATCGAATAATTAGGACCACCAAGTTTGGTTTATATACTTGAGGGATCACTCCACCTATTGACAATTAGTTTTGGTTTGGATACTCTAACATGCTATCAAAGCTCCGCCTTGGGTGGTCAATGGATCAAGGCTCTTTTCCATTTAAATCCCGGTATGGATGGTTGTTTGTTTCATTTTTGACCCCACGTGCATGCCCAATCCCACGTGAGAGAGGGAGTTAAGAGAGCTTGTATCCCACATCGAATAATTAGTACCACCAAGTTTGGTTTATATACTTGAGGGATCACTCCACCTATTGACAATTAGTTTTGGGTTGGATGCTATAAGAACTCCGACCACATGAAACATGATATTCACTTATTTTTTTGTAACTCAATTCCAATGGCAACTAGTGCGTGAAAAATCTTATTAGGAGAGCATATTAAATGAACCAGCCAATAGAGCCTACAGATTGATTAATTAAAAAAACTGTTCCTCCTTTTCAAGTCATAAAAATTACTGAGACTCCAAAGTTGAAAGAGAAGTTACTCCTACTTAGGGGGTTTGAATGATTCTCCCACTTGCCGCCACAACTTGCAAGAAGTCACCTACAAATGCAAGAAAACAGGAAGCAAGCCTTTAATACTTCATACAGCTCAAATCTAATCCATAATCTTCTCTAATAAAAATACAAATAACATAAATTGCAGCCAAATGCTTGCATGAAACCAAAAACGTACAATAATTCCAGAATTGGATTAAAATGTAGTTTCAAGAAGAAGAAATCCCTTATGAAAGGCCAAGCAAGCATCCAAGCTTCAATAGGAGGGAAATCAGGCCTTTCTAAGTTGGTAATAGAGAAAAGAATACCAAAACTGCAAGGCAGATAAAGTTCTATTTGTGCAACATTTATTATCAAGGTTTTTTTTTTTGATCAGCAACAATGAAAAACATTATTGAAGATGAAATTCAAAAATCGTTACAAGAAGGACGAGAGAACCTTCAAATAGAAACATAAAATTAAAAAAGGAGGGAAAATAAATTGTACAGAATGAAGCAAGTAACAAGAACGTGTCCGTAATCATCACAACCCAATTGCCATTTTTCCCTAATCAGCGATAATACAATACTGACACACTCCGATGTAGCCGAAGCCTAGAAGGTAGCCAAAACATAGATTCTTTCCCACAATTCAATCTCCTCTTCAAATTTGTCTTCAAAGATCTTAGCATTCCTATCCAACCATACCACCCAGACAGCTAAGATACTTCATCTGCAAAGCATTGGAGCACTTTTGCTCTTTCAACACTCCAAAATACAATGACAAGCATCAATTTACATGATGATGGAGCAACCCAAGACAAATCCATCAAGGCAAATAACCTTTGCCAAATCAATGAAGCCATTGGACGATGAAGAAACAAATGGTCAACAGTTTCCTCATGTTTTCTACACATAATACACAACTGCAACAATACAGCACAATCAGGTCTCCTTCTTTTAAACAAATCATCAGTATTGATTTTCTTACAAGCAAAATTAAAATGAAAAATAAAATTAACACCAAATAAAACGTGTACTTTAAGAGGCAAGGGTTCCTTCCAAATCATCTTTGTTGGGGCAAACAACGGAATATTAAAATCATCAATAATAGCATTCAAATAGGATTTACAAGAGAATACCCCAAAAGGACTGGTAGACCGCACTCTACTATCAAGCGCCAACAAAATAAGATTCCCATCTAATAAAGACAATAGAGATGAACACTTGATAATCTTCCGAGCATTTAGATTTCTGGAGAAATTTAAGTTCCAACTGAGAGGAAAATCATAAGTACGGACCATTGAAGCAATTGAAGCATGGCAAAAACCAGACAATCCATGCAGAGGAGGATATAGTAAAGAAAAAGGAGAATCACTCCTCCATTTATCTTCTCAGAACCGACTCTTATCCCCATTACCCACACTCAAAGTCAAGTAGTAGGAGAAAGAAGTAAAATCCAAGAAATGGATTTCCAAGGACAACAGAAACTCCACCTAATCAATCACAAGAATCCCATCCCTTTTCCTAAGTTCCATACTTACTATTAATAACAACATGTCAAAGAATTGGATTCCAGAAATCTTCACAACACTTGTCCAGCAATGCAGTATTACTAACAATAATGTCACCGAAGCAATACCCCCTTTAGCCTTAGACCTAGAGACAACATCCCACCTAACCAAATGATCCTTCTTTTGTTTTCCTATTCCCCTCTCACAAAACTGTATCATCATTCTCTCAATTCCCTTGCCACATTAGATGGAATTTTGAGAGGAGACGCATAACAAATAGGAGTGCTAGATAAAATAGATTGGACTAAAGTCAGTCTCCTCTTCATGATACCAAAGCCTTTTTCCATTCATCCCACTTATTAACAACTTGTGCAACCATTGGTTCCTAAAAACATTCAAAGCTTGGCTTAAGCCATCTCTCCACCACACACCCAAAAACACTCACCATTCTCTCAATTATCTCCTTAGACACATGATTACACATGATGGACCTCTTACCCATACTCACATTCAAACCTAGAATCAACTCAAAAAATGTGGAATATATACTAACATGTTAGTAACTTTATGTTCGTCTGCAAAAAGAAAAAATATATATGATAATTAGCAAACTATAAATGAGAAATCAAACCTCCATCCCTCATAATTATCAGACCCTCAATCAAATCTATCTCCTTAGCTCTCTCCAACAACTGCTCAACACACCCATGACTAAATTAAATAAAAAGGGAATAAAGGATCACCTCTTCTAAGGCCTCTAGAAGCACCAAAATATTTCCCTGGTCTCCCATTAACAATTAACCATTACTGAAATATTTGTGAAAGCTACAACTTAGAAACAAGAAAAAAGGCATCCTGGATCTAGTTTGAAGTCATTATGCTACTGGTTATGTTTTATTAGATAATACGAACAACGGTTTTTTTGTGTTTTCAAAAATTATGGAGGATGGGTAAATCCATAATCTATGAATCTTATTTTGGGATCAAATTACATACGATACCTCTATACAGTAGAAATTTCGATTGTGACATAATGAGTTTGTGTTCGGGTGTTGCCTAAATCCTTGAAGATAAAATATTGTTTCTCTTCCCCTTTTTCTCCTCCTCCTCCTCCTCCTCATCATCATTATCCTTCTTCTTATTCTAGTTCTTCACCTTCCTTTTTTGATGCAGGGAAGCGTGTAAAACACGGGTATAGAAAACAATAAGGGGATAATGAAATTAAACCGTTGATTTGCGCACAAATACCGATTTAGAATCCTACTGTAGGCCTGTTGATTTACAAAGAGTATCAGTTCTAAAGGCTTCAATAAATTTGTTGATTCCTAAAAATACTAGAAGAATTGAAAAGAAAAGAGAAAACTCTTTCAATTGTATTCAATAGTAAAAAATTGTTGAACCCTAAGGTTTACAAAAGTATAAATAGTGTAAGAAACCCTAAAATCAACTAGGAAATAATAAAACATGGCCTAATTATCGTTAATTAAGTAAATAGGCTATTATTACAGATTTTGCCAAAAAAAAAAATTCCAAACTAATTATATAACTAAAAACTACTAATCACCCAGAATAAGGTAAAAGAACTGACGACGATCAACTCTGACTTAAGATGAAGAACGTATTTAGCTACAAAAAATTATCAACAATGCCCAAAACGCGTTTTCCAAGCCCTAAACGAAGGAATTTGCCCAAAATATGTCTAGCCTCATCGCATATGAGTTCATTTTGCCTCGGTCGTTTCTGACTGGACATGGGGGTTTCGAAACTCATATATGTGGGAGTGGTCCGAAAAAGTCAACTCATTTAACTGATCCAAACCACCTTGATATCGATTCAAGTACTGTGCCGCTATCCAATCTGCATCACTTTTCCAATCCTAGAAATCTTACTCTCAATTTCCAATCATCTGTTATTTGAAGCTCCTAACATAGCACCAAAAAAAGAGCCCAAAATCCAAAAGTTATCGTTCAAACCACTGTTTGCGGTCGCAGAACAACCACTCAACTCTCTTTTCCTATTTAAATGAAACTTCTAAACCCTAACCTTTGCCTCACCTAAATAAACCTTAAGAGACCATATTTTTACGAACACTTTAGCCACAAAAGCAAACCATAGACAGCCTTTAAAGCTATAATCATTAGCAGCCCAAAAACCAGATTTGGTATCATCTTTTGAGAATTTTTGCCACACGTCCTACATCAAGCTTACTCACTTTCTTGTTAGCAAGAGTAGCATATATTTATACTTAGAGACAGACAAATAGTTAACCAGACATGTATATGCATCCCATGAAGATGAGGGATTCTTCCGCCATACGACCATAGTTATTAGTATCGTACGATACACGATACGTATCATACGATAAACCTGAAAAACGATATGTATCGTGTTTCTGTATTGTTTTTGCACTGTATCGTACGATACGATACACCCGATATATACGATACGTGACGATTCTATTTTTTTTTTTTAGTTTTTTAAGACTGAAATGATATTGTTTTACCCTAAAACTTATTTTTAAATCACTAGCCAGTGAAACAACGTGGTTTCAATGATTGTGGTTTAAAAAAAAAAAATAAAGTCTACTGTTAATGTTATTCAATTTAGTTCAAAATTCTTGATTAATATTAAAATTATTCAAGCAGTTGATATTAGAATTTTGAATTAGAGGTCTCTTCATTTTGATATTACTGAACTATGTTGGAAACTTGAATAGTTGGTGGAATATTAACGAAATGCTATATTATTATGAGTCTATGATTTTTTTACAAAGGCATATATATATATATATATATATATATATTTCAAGCAGTTGATATTAGAAGTTTGAATGTAGAGGCATTTTGATATTTTTGAACTATGTTGGGAACTTGAATAGTTGGTGGAATATTAACTAAATGCTATATTATTATGAGTCTATGATTTTTTTACATAGGCATATATATATATATATATATAAATAATTATTTAAAAATTAAAATTGTGTGTGTCTTACGATACACTATTTTTGAAAAACGATATACCTTCCGATACGTGATTTGACAACTATACATACGACCCGCAATAAATCTATCTAAAATGGTCACTCTAATTGATTTCTATTATGGAATAAACTAACGTATTTCATTCCAGAAGCAATCAATAAAAACAGTTTAACTTCGATATATATTCCACATACTCAACATGAAAAAAGAAAATCAATGGAATAACATAAGTCAGCTCAACGATTATTAATATGAGTCCATAAGAACATGGTCAACAAGATCAAGAATGACTTAACCAGACATTGCCCCCTAAAAAAAGTTAAAAGAGGAAGTGGCAAAGAAATATGTAAAGGAAAACAGAACTCGGCCAGTGTTACGCTTATTGTCTCACTGCTCACACATAGATAGGAGAGAAGTTGTGATAGGTTGAAGTAACTAAAAAATATGTCACATCTGAGGAACATGGGACCTGAGCAACAGAAAATGAAACCAGATTTAGAAAAAATTTCCTCTGCTTGCTACCTTGCCAGTATCAGGTGTTGACGGGCTAATGGTATCAAAAACCTAATTAAAAAATTTGTGAGCAAGTCTAAGACATGTCCCAATACATTTAATCTATTACATTTTATTTATATGCTTAATAAAATAAATTTAGTTCTGAACTTTTTATACCCATGTGCTCAATAAAATGAATCTAGTTATGAACTTCTGATACTAGGATTAAACCAAATGTTCTTCCCAAACGGCAATAAAAGGTGATGCACATGAAAAAAAAATGAATAACAATGAGAATGTTGGGAAAATGAAATCCTTGACTAACCTGTTCGTATCCACCAAGTCTGATCACCGCTCTCCATAACCTAAGTCGCACAACAAAGAAGAAAGTTAAGTGCATAGTCAGGAAGTCCCTCAATGAATATAACATGCAAACTGTAAAACTAGAGTCAAAACTAACTTGAGGCAATTTAATGGCTCTCCATAGAACCTTGGGGGCTTGAATTCTAAGAAACGCTCTTTGTGGAAAATTTCCACTTCCTTCATGAATGCAGCTTGCTCCTCCTCTGTTCCCGATTCATCAACCCCGATAGCATTTGAATCCAAAAGAAAGGACTTGCTGGGGGTTTTCACATCAATCTCACATCCTACATCCAACTCTGGTTTCCGTGATTCCTCCTCCGCTTCAGCGCCTGGTACCTCGTTTATCCCTGTCATCCCGTTCTCCAATTCCTTCTCCTTTTCATTCTCCTGTAGCAACTCCAACCTTGTCACCCCATTGTTAAATTTTTCCTCCTTTATTTCATTGTTTGAAGGTAACTCCATCACTTTCACCCCTATGTTTGATTTCTCCTTACTAGTTTCATTTTCCACAGGAACCTCCATTCCAGTAGTCCCATTATCTGATTCCACTACCTTCATTTCTTCTCCTTTCGTTTCCAATGAACTCTTGTTGGGTTTGGCAGAATCCAGCTGATTCTGAGGATCCAGATTTGCGACATCAGGTTTACCACTATTGTCATGTGGCTCGTTGGTATTGGCATCAGCTGTGGTGTCAGCATGAACAGTGCCAGGAGGTTCAACAAAAATATTTTCCCTGGGTGAGTGACCACTGTCATTATGCTGTTGAAGGTCCTCGACATCGGGGTGGCCATGGTCTACTGGATGCGATCTTGGGATTACAACAGGGTTTTGATCACCCTCACAGAGAGGTGACTCCTGCTTTGCAACTCCAGCGTCCTCAGGGAGGTGAGGCACTGGTTGTTCCTTTTCTACCATTGTATCAATCAACATCACGTCATTATCAGCCACAGCATCCCGTACACCTCTCCGGATTTCATTATCGTTCATCTGACAATCAGGCATGGTCTCCGCAAGCTGATAATAGTTAATTCTTCCTCTAGTTCAGGGGACGAATTTTGTCATGACAAACCCTAATTCTCTGTGTAATAAATGCCAAAGTGAAATCAAAAAATCCAACAGAAAAAAAAGGCGCTTGATTTTTAAATTGTGCAGTAGATTTTCTTGTTTGTGGAGATTTTTCTTTTCGACTTTACTATAAAAAAAATCATAAAATTTATAAAAAATAAAAGAAACTGAAAACAGGGCCAAAAAAGTTAGAAGAGTACAGAGTTGCCCATAAGGTCGAACAAGGAAAAGATAAATATAGGTGAGAAACAAAAGAGGTATGAGAGAACACACATGCACGCGCATACAGAGATATTAACTTGGGAAAACATGAATGTGGTGGAGGAGATTACCTGCCTTACGGCTTCAAAAGGCGGCGTTTCAAAGAAGACAAGAACGACACAGAGCCACTTCTAAACCGGAAGACTCCCGAAGGCTTTTCTTGTGGCTTCGTGCGGAAATATTGTCAAAAAAAATTAATCTTCTCGTCTCAACAACAAATTGTGAGGGCTAAACAAATAATCACTTGTTAAAGGTAATAATAGAACAAGAGCTTCAGGAAAGAATAGCCCTTGAATAGGAACAATAAAATAGCAGTGGTAGAACTAGCAAGAAACGAAACAATCTCAGCTGAAGGTTGAACAATCTTTGGGTTTCTTTCAAGAGGATTTTTGCTGGGCTGTTGGCAAGGCCCGAAAGCTGTCATCCACACGACACGACCCCATTATAGCTGAATTTTATTTCTTGGGCGGACCAGCAAAACCGAACTTGGTTTGTGCAATTCTGGGCTAGCCCTAACTTATTTATTTCATTAAGTTTTATTTTAATAAAATATATTATGTTTAGCTATAAAATTCAAATGAATTAAAATTGTTTTACCTAAATATCCTCATTTAAATTATGTATTATTGATTGACAGTTATATATCTAATTAAATATATAAAGATTTTATTAGACTTTCTAACTGTCGCCCCTTATTTTTTCTCCATCTCTCTCTATTTTCTCATTCTTTTCCCCATTTCTTCGTTATTTTCTCTCTATATCTATCATTGATAATTTATTTTATTTTTAAATATGAAATATTTGATTTTTTTTCATATCTCTCTCCCTTATTTTCTCTCTCTCCCCTATTTTATCTCTCTCCACCTATTTTCTCTAACCATTTATCTCTCTCCCTATTTTCTCTCTCTATTTATATCAACATTATTACAATACAATTATACTAATAAGTTACAATTGTCTTATAATATACCAAAAATTATTCATGCATTCTAATAAATCAAACAGTTACACCAAAGAATTATACAAATTTATAATATTAATCCAATTTGTTATTCAGTCGTTTACATAAAATAAATAGTTACACTATTTAGTATCGCGATATTGTTACACCAATTATATATAACAAGTTTAGTATAATGGTAAAGTCTTTTGTGCAATGATAAATCCATTTTGATGTATATAATTGGTGTAACCATATCGTAATACTAAATGATATACCTCTTTAATTTATGTAAATAACAAAATGACAAATTGGATTGGTATTGTAATTTTGTATAATTGTTTAGTGTAATTGTTTAGTTTATTAGAACACATGAATAATTGTTTAGTGTTTATAGGGTAATTGTAAATAATTAGTGTAACTGATTAGTATAATTGTGTTGTATAACATTGATATAAGAAGAGAGAAAAAGGGAGAGAATAAGAAAATAAGGGGAGAGGGAAAGCGAGAGCGAGAGAGAAAAAAGGGGAAGAGAGATGAAAAAATTAAATCATATCTTTACATATTTAAAAAAAATTATCAATATAAGAGAACGAGAGAGAGAGAGAAATAGATAGAGAGAAATAGGGAAAAGATAGTAAAAGAGTAATGGAGAGAGAATGAGAGAGAGTAATGAAGTAATAAATATATTTTTTTCAAAAAAATGCACTTAGGGCAAAATAAGTTTTATTCATAAATCAGGTCCCAAATTCTAATCTTAAATTATGTCTCAATAACATTAGTAAATACTCAACAAGTGTCACATGTGAAAAGAATGCAAAAGGGTTAAACCAACAAGGGCTAATATGCTACAAGTCCACTTGAAGTTGGCCATTTTTGCTGACAAATAAATAGTTATATTTCAAACGAATCACGTAAATAATATCTATTGTAACACCTTGGTTTCCTTGTGCACATTACTTTTATAGAGTTGACACTAAACTATTTTTTTTTACCTTTTTTTTTAGAGGGGGGAGGGGACTTGAACTCTTAACTTCAAGAAGGTAAAGTCTTTACAAAGTAAAAGTACAATTGGACCAAAGGTCCATTGGTGACACTAAACTATAATGCCTCGACCAGCTCCCATTGAGATCAAAGTACATTAGATGAAATTTTTTTGAATTTCTCATCTACCCTTAAACAAAATTATAAGGAGAATTATACCTAACACTAATAATTTCATTTAAAACTTTTGAGTTTTTATTTTGTCCTTAAATAAATATATGAACACTTATGACTTAAATCATAAAAAATTGACATTGTGTGTACCCTCAAAGAAACTTACAAATTCAATGATTACCAATATATCTATATCTATATCTATATTTATATCTATACTACTAATAAAATTATCTTAATATGAAAAAATTTTGATTCACTATTTTACCCTTATAAAAAATTAAAAATGTCACTCTATCTTTTCACACTTAATATCTAAATTATCATCATATCCCTATACATTTAAATCTCTAAATTACATGTAAGATCACTTTTAAGTATATATTTCCTATGTATAAATGCCAATTTTTATAAAAATTTTTGATTGATTATATTACTTTTAAAAAATATGTGTCATTATAAATTTTAACAAAATATTCAAAAAAATCTTCAAAAATTCCATACATATAATATTACTAACCTCATTTATAAAGATAATATTATGGTATATTTTATTTTTCATCAAAATGTTAATCCTTTCATTTTTTTAAAAAAATTTATGTATTATACCTTTACATAATTTTTAGTTACAGTAAACTTTTCAGTCTGTATTAAGATTTTATGTGAAAACTTGATTTTTAAAAAAAATTAATATACTTTATAAGATATATTATAGCATTGTATATTAAATTTTATCTCAATTAACCTAGATAATCTTAATACAGTAAGGTTAATATATTGATAATTATTTTTGATGGACCAAGCCCAAGAATCTCAAATCCATGTTGAAAGCCCAGTCATGATCAACGGCTCAAAATTACGAAGACCCAACAGGCCCAACGAAGTCTAAGCCCAGTCAAACTCATCAGCTTGACTACGTCATCAAGAGAGCTCAGGAGCCTCACTTGCACCGCCTTGGGAATAGTCAAACCTCACCTCATCCTTTGACCGAGTCTCATGGAGAACGTTGCAACCACCTCGCACATTGAGGAGAAGTCGTGAACTCCACCAGAATAGTTATGTAGTGGCTATTAAGTCGCCCTAATTTGTTAGGGGGCGACTATGAATTGTAAGCCCAGCCAACACTTGGGGGACATGATCATCATCAAGACACTGTCACCTGAGCACAAATCTCCTCTCCCTCTTAAAGCTTGTACTCTCTACTTTTTGCATCCTTGAGCTAATAAAGTTCCAGGCGACCAAGGCCATTTAAAAGTGGACATAGGTTACGTTGATCGAACCACTATAAATCTCGTCTCTTCCAACTCTCTTTACTTTTAATTACTGCATTTATTTTCAATCACTTGACAGGTGGTGTGCAAACCCAATTTATGCATCATAAGTTTGGCGCCGTCTGTGGGAACGACAAAATTCTCACTTCTAAACACTTTCTTTGTTAAACCTATGATGATCACCACAAGATCCATGAATCAACCTGAGGATAACCAACTATGAGAGCAGGAGGTTGCTCCTCCACCAACCAATTCTGCCCCAAACGCGCAGTAGATGTTGGAGACAATGCAGTGGCTTGTGGCCCAGAACATATAAATTGCAACTGATGCTCGTCGGGCAAGGAGGAGCACAGCTTGTACCCCAAGTTAGAGGAGCTCCATGCCTTGGGTGTCAAGGAGCTTTCCACATGGGTGCTCTTCACCCCATTGGAGCCCCCTTAGGCGCCCCACACAGGGGAGCCCCTCCTCAGAACTATAGGCCAGCTCCTCCTCCTCCAATTCCCCTTTCCTATGGTGGAGACCCTCATTTTCAAGATAAAAAAGGCAATAATCAAAGTGTGGAGCACGGGAGCTATTTTCATACAATTCCAAAGGAGTCCCAACCACTGTGACCAAAAAATTAAAGAGGTGCAAAATCAACTAGGTGTCGTCTTTAACGCTATGAAGGCGCAGGAACTTGAGATAGTGGACTACCTCGTAAGGCGAATCGACACACCTTTCAAACATGACATGGCAAACTACGCACTCCCTCAAAAATTTAAGATGCCATCCGTCGAAACCTTTGACATTACGAAGGATCCACTTAATCACCTCGAGACTTATAAGACTTTAATGCAGCTGCACAATGTCCTCGACGAGATCATGTGTAGGGGCATTCCTAACTACTTTAAATGGATCAGCACGACAATTGTTCACCAAACTCACCCCCGCCTCCATAGGCTCCTTCGCCGAACTGAGCAAATCTTTTGTAGCACAGTTCATTGGTGGATGCCGCCAGCAGAAACCTACCACCCACCTACTTAGCATAAAGCAAGATTGAGAGGAAAGCATGTGGAGTTAACTTACTCGTTTTAACGAGGAGGTCCTCCAGATTGAGGAGCCCGATGACAAGGTCACCATAACCACCTTCTTGAGAGGACTTTGTTCATCAATCTTCCTTTTTTCAATGATGAAACACCCACCAAAAAGCATGCCAGAATTGTGGGCAAAAGCTCAGAAATGCATAAATGACAAGGATGTAACCAAAGCCAGTGGAGGTGAGTCCTCACCATCATCATCACCGCTTGCACCCGACTCTAAAAAAAAAA